CCATCCCATCCCATCCCAAACTCTGGTAACATAGTGGTTACAAGTCAGGCTGCTAACTAATCTCAAGGTCAGAAGTTCAAAACTACCAGCCATTTCATGGAAGAAAGATGAGGCTTTCTGTGTGGGCTCATGCACTGGACTGAAAAGTTGGTTTAAACTGCAAGGTCAGTGGTTCAAGCTCACCAACCACTCCTTGGAAACCCTATACAAGGTCGCTGAGGTCAGAACCAACTTGATTGCTCTTAACAACAACAATAATAGTGTTCCATGGAGTCCTGGTGTGGTGCTGTAGTATGAGCTCTGAACCCCATTGTTGGTTTGATCTGTAAGATCAAACCAAGCTGTTCCTATACAGGATTGCTATGAGTTGGAATCAACTCATAGGCAGTAAACAACAACAACAATATTCCATTGTACACAAATACCACCATTTGATTAATCTTTCATCCTTTGATAAGCACTTTGATTGTTTCAAAATCTGTGATTAAATATCACAAAGTAGATGTCAATGCCTTAACCATGTTTGTGTTGGGAGGCCTAGAATTTCTTACATCCTTGTCAAAATGAGTGCTAACCTTCTCTCCTTTCACTGATCACCACATAGTAAAGAATAATATGTTAAAATTGTTGCCGTGAAGTCAGTTCCAATTCATAATGACCTTTTGGAGCAGTGTAGAAATGACCCTATATGATTTCCAGAGATGGTAGCTGGTGAGGGTGAACTGCTCATCTTTTCATTGGCATTCAAGAACTTAATCTGCCAGCAAGGCAGAGATTCAAGGAGCTAAGGGGACAAAATACCAAGAGACCAGGAAGCAGAAACTGACAACACCAGAAATGTTGGAACCAGAGTTGCCTCTTTCAAAGAAAGGGTAAGGTCATGGCATTGGAATTTCAAAGGGTAGGGCCTCTGCTTACAAGGTTTCAAAGGTCCAGGACTGCCATTCATGAGTACTAAGGGGATAGGGCCAGATCTGCTACCCAAAGCTGAGGGATAAGGCTATCATGCCAGGACTGTGGGAGTGCAATCATTACACTGTTGGACTAGAAGAATGGGGCCACCCAAAGCTGAGGAATGAGCTACCATCCCAGGGAGCCTGGAAAGTGGTATCGATGCCAATGGATACAGCACCTTCACCCAGAATCCAGAGAGCATGGCCCAGAATCTATGGGCAAAGCTAGTGCTTAGATGGTCTCAGAGAACAGAGGATAATTTTCAAGTCTTGAGAGAAATGTCAGTTATTCTACTGGAGTTTAAATTTGCTTGATGCCCATTATACTTTCTTTGCCACCAATTTATCCCATTTGTAATAGAAATGTCTACCTTATACCTGTTCAACGTTGTACTTTGGAAGCAGATAACTTGTATTCTAGATTCATAGATGAAGAGGAATTTTACTACAGGATGTAATTAGTACTTGAAGTTTAATTAAGACTTTTGGGACAACATATTTGGGGAAAAAATGTTTTGCATGTGGTATTTATGTGCTTTGCAATAATCAGAGTTGGGCTTTCTGTCGAAATGCTGTGTGTATTTTTGGATAACAAGACCAAAACATTATAGCCAAGGATATAGCCTGGCATTTTTAAATTGAGTTATAAACCTTGGAAATGAAAAGTAAACTAGGTTTCAAAACCACATTGAAATCAGCAATTCATTGTCTGTTTCTGTTTCCTTTAGATATAATCTCTGAGACAGATTGATGGTACACTAGTATAACATAGTTATTGTTGTTACATTCCATTGACCTTGTATAGGGTTTCCAAGGAGGTGAGTTTGAACTGCTGACCTTGTGGTTCAAACTGACCTCATGGTCCAGTGCTTTATTTTACCAGTAAATTATTTTTTAAATCTGCCGTGTTTATATGACTTTAAAGCAAATGGACAAATCAATACTTCATCTCTTTTCATTGAATCTAGTTGAATACTTGACATTATATGGGAGTAGAAATAGCACTTATTCAAGCTCTGCTTTATGCCAGACTATGTTAACATAGCAGTCAAGAAATCAGATGATGCATTGCATTAGGCAAATCTGCTGCACAAGACCTTTTTAAAGTGTTGAAAAGCAAAGATGTCAGCTTGAGGACTTAGGTGCGCCTGATCCAAGCCATGGTATTTTCAATAACCTCATATGCATGTGAAAGCTGGACAGTGAATAAGGAAGACCATAGAAGAATTGATGTTTTTGAGTTATGGTGTTGGAGGAGAATATTGAAAGTTCCATGGGCTGCCCATAGAACCAACAGATCTGTGTTGGAAGAAATGCAACCAGAATGCTCCTTGGATGCCAAGATGACCAAACTTCGTCTCTCATACTTCGGACATACTGTCAGGAGGGACCATTCGCTGGAGAAGGATATCATGTTTGGTAAGTTGGAGGGTCAGAGAAAAAGAGGAAGACCCCCAGCAAGATGGATTGGCCAAGTGGCAGCATCAATGGGCTCAAGCATGGCAACAATAGTGTGGTTGGCCCAGTATCAGGCAGTGTTTCATTCTGCTGTGCATAAGGTCTCTATGAGTCGGCACCGAATCAATGGCACCTAACAACAACAACGTTAACTGAGATTATCCCTTAAAATCTTCACAACAGCATCACGAATTAAGTCTTTTGCACCCATTTTGCAAATGAAAAAGCTAGGTACATCTATTAAGCTGGATTTTCTTACCAGTGAAGGTAGAGGAATAAACAAGTCTTCTAAGCTATGTAATGGAAAGGAGTTTCCCTTTCAGATTCTTACTTTTATTCTTTTTTATAATTACAATCACAGCACAATAAAGAGTACTCAGCTTTTTATATCTCTCTAACTGATATAAATGTCATACAATGGTGTGGCATTGTATGATAAACACTGGACTGTGAAACAAAAGATCAGCAGTTCAAACTCACCATCTCCTCTTCATAAACCCTTTACAAGGTTGTTATGAGTCAAAACCAACTCACTGGCACTTAACAATAATAACAAATGACCTGAACTTCATTTGAGCCCTATTTGTATAAACAGATAAAAGGGCAAAAGGATAGTGAAAGACTTAAAAACATGGCTTCATCTTACCTGTTATGTATAACTGAGTCAGTACCTGTTTATTGTCACTTCCTGTCAACTCACTAGCATTGGGTAAAGTTTCTTTCCAAGTCCCTTTCTTCTCTTTTTCCCTTGTATGGAATTCTGGTGCGAAGAGATGCTAGTACAGCATCATTTCATTGCAAGTGAGACCTGATGTCTCACTTGCTTTTGGTCCTTACGTGGTTCTCAAGACCTCACTGACTTGTCCTACGTTGTCTTTGGATCTTACTCTCTGCCTTAGCTGCACCTGCTATTTAATTTCAGCTCCTGGTCAGAGCTCTGGACCTGGCCAGTGTAAGTTGTCCCACCACTACCAACACCACCATCATGGAGCCCTTTTGACTCTTGCTGGTACTGCTGTGTCTTTGAAACTGGCCACTTCCCACTGTAGATGTGGTTCCCTGAGGCAACATAATTCATAAGTCTCATATGGCTTCCATACCCAACACTCAGGAGGCCTTAGGAATTTTTCAGATCACTTTCACCTCTCAGAGGTCAAGCAAATGTGGCCAGTTACTATTGTTTCTCTTCTGAGGCTGCTTTACTTTGCTGTCTTCCAATCCATAGACTGACTCTTCCCCTAGTGCCACGAGGAAAATGGCACATACATCAATTTGCCTTTGACTCCCCAAGCTAACCTGGATTATTCTGGAATGATGGGTTATGTCCTTCTGTAGCAGTCAGCCATACTTTCTGTAGAAAGTATGGAAGGACTTACAGCAAAAATTTAAAAGAAAATAATTTTATTGTTTCTAAGACCAAACCATAAGGATTATCTCTAAGGGGGTACATATTCCCTCAGCCTTTTTTAAAAAGATTTTTCTCTGCTTGAGACAAAAATGAACTTTCCTTTTATTTCACCAGCATTATATACTCAATTTTAGTTCAAGTAAAGCACATATGTATATATAGTTCTGCATGGAAGCCAAAATAATCTGTGTGCCAATTACACATGACTGATGAAAGTGTCTCATTATATATATTCCCACATGGGAACAGTGGGAAGCCATACAGAGAGAAAGGTGGTGGCAGCTTTCTAAAAGAGCCTTTGATGGAGACCACGTCATTTTCCCCAAGAGACAGACTGCACATTTTCTTGGATGGCATCTGTAATAATTAAGGTTTTTTTGTCAACTTGATTTGGCCAGGATTATCAGTGGTTTGGCAGTTGAGATGTAGTTTTATTTTCCCTATGATGAGACCTAATATAATCTAATTACCTCCATGATGAGATTTGCTGTGAGCAGCCAATCAATTGAAAGGAAGTTTCCTTTGGGGTATGGTCTGCTTCCAATATATTGGACACTCAGACAAAGCTTTCTTGCTTTCTGCTGGGGCTGGATCCTGCATCTGGCTAGTCATGAAACCTCTGGTTCTTTAAACTTGAGCCAGTGGGTTGTTTTATTGGCTGAAGATCCTGATAATTGTCAACATGCTGTCATCTTACCTGCCCAACCTGCCTGCCATCTGATTCACAGACTTGAGACTTGTCTACCTCTACATCTGTGTGAACTATTTCCTTGATATACATTTTTACATATTCATAGATTCACTTCATGGGTTTTGCTTCTGTAGAGAACTAAGCCAAATAAATTATCCTACACTCTTACATTTCCAAATGAGTCTCACTGATTGGACCAGCACCATCTGAGGAAGACTTAAAATTCACAGAGCCACACAAGGGCTGATATTATGAATGTTAACTAATCTGAGGGTACATTTCTAGAAGAGAAGTTATGCTTGTACTCTATTGGTTTTCATTTAGTTTCTCTTCTTGGCTTCTAGAATGGAGAGCAGAATAAAATAGCCTAAAATTAGTTTCATTCTTGGCATCATATTTCAAGTAGTTGGCAATTGTTCTCTATTGAGTGTGGGACCTGGCAGGGAGAGGCTGTCACAGAGCAAGATTCTTAATTCATTGGAGATTTTCTCCTATTATGCTTGGATCAGGAAAATTAACATGTTTCAACATCCACAAGTATGTTACTAAATATTTTT